CTGTAAGTGGCTCTTGCTGCCTGAGGAGCCCCACACCCCCCACCTCCAGGCCAGTTTTTCGTCTTAAGACGACAAGTGAAGGGTTCCAGTGGAGAGGAGGCCAAAGGACCAGCTCTTCCTCCCACCCCCCACCTTGTGTGGTTGCTTGTATTGGAATTGCAGGAAATTGTAGGAAGCCTGGGACTGGTTTGAGAAAACACCTCTTGAACTATGACTGGAAATGTGAACCCCATCCCCCTCCGTGCACCCCCCGCTGTTAGGGTGGCTGAAAAACAAAGGTTAGCTGAATGTTGGCACTTTCACTGGCTGCTATATAGACTTCAGGAATTTAGGGTGTGCAGGTGATATGATTTGCTTCCCTACTATGTTTTAGTGGTCTAGAGGTAAAAGTTTTCACATATTTCTCAATATGTGGATAAAATGTTTCAAATTGAGTGATTAGATTTAAGGATTTCTATCTCATAACTGAGCAAATCTCTACATTCCCTTAAGCATTTAAATAAAATAAAATGTTTTGCAACTTTCCAAGATACAAGTACAGAGCATTTACTTATGAAAATTAGCTTGAGATAATGATTTACTTTATTTTTTGCTGCAAATGTTTTTGAAATGTAGTATTTTGTTTTCTTTTAAACTACCACACACAAAAAAATCCAATTGAGTCTCCACATGATGGTTACACTCTTACTGGCCACAAGTTTTAATTTCTTCCACGTTTCCTGTAAACAGTGGGAGGGGTAGGCGAGTGGCTAGCCAGCCAGAGGAGAGAATGTCCAGATCTATGCTGCACACTGGAAGGGGCCATTATCATCCAAGGTGTGTTCTGTGCCAACATAATGCAACTGTCAGTCCCTTCCGCTCCTTATTTGAGCCATAAGGCTGCTTTTTAAATCTTTTGGAGACAAAGTCTTACTCTGTCCAACCCAAGCTAGAGTGCAGTAGCAAAGTCTTGGCTCACTGTAGCCTCTGCCTCCTGGGTTCAAGCAGTCCTCCCACCTCAGCCTACGGAATAGCTGGGATTACAGGCATGCACCACCATGCCCAGCTAATTTTTGTATTTTTTGGTACAGATGGGGTTTCACCATGTTGACCAGACTGGTCTTGAACTCCTGACCTCAAGTGATCCGCCTGCCTCAGCTTCCCAAAGCGCTGGGATTACAGGCGTGAGCCACTGCTCCCGGTCAAGGCTGCTTTTTGTCTATACGCCTTGGCAGAATGGGTGCTGGGTTCATTTCCCACACCAGGCTCTTTCATTGGTTAAGCCAAAAATCTCAGGAATGACCAGGACTCTTCTTGGGGAAGCATGACAATACATTCTACAGGGTCGAAGATGCTGCTAAATTGGCCCATTGTCATGGAGTTTTTGGGGAAGGCTGGGAACATCCTCTCAAAAAGAGTCCACTGGAGGAATCAAATGATCTACACAAATAATTGGGGGGTGGGAGGGGTCCTAGGGGTTGTCTGGGCATTGAACTTATGAAAAATCCTCAGGTCCCTCTGGTCCAGTCCCTAGCTTGACCCTGAGCAGCTTGAGAGCAGCATCTTAGGGCCCCTGGGTTTAGCAGCATGTGTAGTGGGTAGCAGGGGCCCGATACTTTTTCTTGACAATATAATCTTTAAAATCTTACACTTGTAAAGACACACAAACCCAAAAAGGTTATTTAACCAAGATCATAAATGCAGTTTCTAGTTGAATCATCACTGTCAGCCAAGCCCTTGCTGTTCCACCATTAGCCACAGTAAGATATTCCTTCATGGAATGTTTATTGAGCCTTTTCGCAACGAAGTGCAAGGGTTGTAGGAGTCATTTACAATCTGGTGAGGAAGTTATGATAAATGTTTAAAACTGGATAAAATATGTGCTGCTACTAAGTGACTTAAGTGGACCCGGCTTCCGGGAATCATTAACGTGGACATAGATAAAACACGTAAAATCCTGCTCCTCCTATAGTCTTTCCCAGCTCAGTGAATGACCCCTTTTCTTCTAGTTGCTTAAGCTACTGGATCTTCCCAGACTCCGTTCTCCCACATTCTGCCTGTCAGTAAATCGTGTTGGCTCTACCATCAAACATAACCAGAACCTGACCACTCCAATCACCCATGGCACTATCACTATCACCCCTCACCTGATGAGTGTACTGGTCTCCCCGGTCCCCTCTTCCTCCTATGGCCTCCTTGAGATGTTTCTCAACATAGCAGTCAGAGCAATCCAAAAAAGGTAAGTGAATCACATCATTGAGCCACTTGACCCTCCATCGCCCAGGTCTCCTGTCTCCCATTCCCTCTCACTCATCCTGCTTCAGCCACACCAATCCCCCTGCTGTTCTTCAGCATACCATGTTATTTTATTTCTTCTTCCTACGAGGATCTTCCCCTACATATTCACATCACTTCCTTCCTCACCTTCTTCAGGTCTTTGTTGAAAGATATCTCCTTCCTTGATCCCTCATCCCATTGAGCACTCCCTGTCTCTTTCCTGCACATTACTTTGCTCCACACCACTATCTGACATATTTTACTTTTATTCCATTTTCCGGAGTATAAGCTCTAAGGGACCAGTGATTTTTGCTGTATTCTTACTCCTGACACATAATTTTGATGGTAGTTTAGTACTAAGACTTTATGTCAAGATTCGGAATTTAATTTAGCCTATATTCCTGTTTTCCAAGCTTTAAAAAGCAAATGTCCCATGTTAACAACAAAACCTCAAGCCCCAAAGGTCTCCAGGTGAGAATTATGGCCTCACCTATGACTCTCTCTCAGTGATGATTTTGTTGACCTTTGTTTTTGGTAGTTGGTATTATAAAAATAGGTGATATTTTGCATTTCCAAACGTAAAATAATATTGACAGTGTCTTTCAAACTACATTCTGGCTGGGCATGGTGGCTCACACCTATAATCCCAGCACTTTGGGAGGCTGAAGCGGGCGGATCACCCGGGGTCAGGAGTTTCAGATGAGCTGACCAACATGGTGAAACCCCGTCTCTACTAAAAATACAAAAATTAGCCAGGCGTGGTGGTGGGCACCTGTAATCTCAGCTACTCAGAAGGCTGAGGCAGGAGAATTGCTTGAATCCGGGAGGTGGAGGTTGCAGTGAGCCGAGATCCCACTACTGCACTCCAGCCTGGGCAACAGAGTGAGACTCCACCTTAAAAAACAAAAACAAACAAAAACTACATTCTGATGCAGATTCTGAGGTGTCTCTCTAGGGATCCTTTACCTCATTGTGCATTGGGAACCATTAAAATAATGGTTGCTCCTCTAACTCTGCAGGCAGTGTGGTCTTCTTGGTTCTGGATGGAGTTGAGAAAAATGTTAAGTTTGGAAAACAATCTTATCTGCTCTAGACAACAGAATTCTTTCTTGATGTGTAAAATTTATGTATCTAAGACTGAACTCCATCTCAAAAAGCAAATCAATAAAAAGCACAAAGGCTTTGCCTAATAGTACGAAACAAAAAGGGTTTGAAATATAAGGCAGAAAAGTGATGAAATCTTAATAGTACATTAATTAAACAAGTCACACTTCTGCTGTCAATATAAAAAATAGACATAAGCTCAAAATATGATGGCAAATGGTGTCCCCGAACTTTGAAGTCAAATGGCAAAATGGTAAGCCAAAGAATGACCTTTTGGCCACAAAAGAGCAAACCTCAGGTGAAGATATGTATGAAGAATTAAGACCAAAGATCTCTGAATATGGTCGGTACCCAAGACAAGTTATTCTCTGAAACGTTTCTAGAGGAGTTCAGTACTTGCCAGTAGAGTAGAAAAATGTATACCAGGAGTGCCAAAGTATGTCTTGTTTCTTATTCTTGTGTAATAAAGGGACACTGTTTGGCCCTGGGTGTCTCTCATTTTGGAATCAGACAATTTGAAATAGGAGTATGGCCTCTCCCTTAAATGCCTAGTTTACTTCTATCATAGACCAGAACCCTAAATCTGATGCTTTTCACAAGTTCTATTCTATACATGCGCTAGTATGAGAGGAATTCTAATGTTTTGATAAATACAGAGATTCAGAACCCTGTCCTTTCCACTTTGTTAACCTTAAATTCCTCTGGAGCCCAGGGGCTTTGTTTTATAGAAGGGTTTTTAGGGATGCTATCATAAAAGGGTTCAGGCACGAACCGGGGAGGGCACAAGTTACACCCACTAACCTGGTCTCTGGTGCTGTCACTTTATATTCTCCAGGTATCTTACTAACATGGCACAACACGGGCAAATTCTCACATCCTGAAGGATGATGCACTGAAGGTCAAGCTATGGGGTAGGTTAATCTGCAGGGGTCAGTGCACGGCCTGAGTAACCAGAGGCTCTGAAATAATTCTTCTTTCCACTCTTCTTTAAAAAGTCAAATATAGTCTGGAAAACTCAGCTTTAAACTTTATCTAGATACAAGTGAATTATATTCCTCCATGCAGATGTACACGGCTCTAGGGAATGACAGGAGCCTGCAAGGTGTTTTGAAGACCATGGGTCCTCAAAACAAGTCTGTTGAATGAATGAACAAATAAGAACACAGCCCATTAGAGGCCAGGCACGGTGGCTCACGCCTGTAATCCCAGCACTTTGGGAGTCTGAAGCGGGCAGATCACAAGGTCAAGAGAGAGAGACCATCCTGATCAATATGGTGAAATCCCATCTCTTCTAAAAATACAAAAATTAGCTGGGCATGGTGGTGCTGCCTGAAGTCCCAGCTATTCGGGAGGCTGAGGCAGGAGAATCGCTTGAACCCCGGGAGGCAGAGGTCACAGTGAGCCGAGATCACACCACTGCACTCCAGCCTGGGGATAGAGGGAGACTTCGTCTCAAAAAAGAAGAACCCACCCATCAAAAATCAGCCTAGTTAAGTTTAAGAAAACTGAACACTTTTCAGATTGCATTGTTCTTACTGGAGACTTCTCACTTCCACAGTTCCCTTACTAATAGGAAAGGTATAATAATTTTAAACGAGAAATTACTAAATCAGTAAGAAAATACAGTCTCACAAAGAACAGACAGGCTTCTTGTAATTTATTTGAGTTATTTCCAAGCGACAGTTACAAAAGTTAATTTTTATAATACTCTTGATAAGAAAATAAAATTTAAATAAAAATACATTCTCAACAATACAACATGGTTAAACAAATTCACTACATTAAGTTTTGATAACTTACATTTTCAAACTGGGTACTGTAAAAACCAATATTTACTAGCAACATATTAATTTCCAAATTAATAAAAATGGAAGCAGATAATATCAACCAAGATTGGTAATTTAACTCTAGAATGAGTCTTGTATTTTTCACATACTGTAAAAACACCTAAAATGCTATGCAGAATTCTGTCTTTACAGGATGTACCGTTAGAGCAAATTAAAGGTGCTTTCACTTAATAAAAAGATGTTTTTCAAAACCTGGCATAAATGAAATCAGGCTTCAGAAACAGAAACAAAAGCCATATCATTCGTCACCTTCTTTTGTTTAATTAAAAAAAGCCTAGTTTTGACACTTACCCATTACCCGTGATATTAAAAACAAGTTTCTTTGGCAAATAAAATAGTTCAATTTGATAAATTATATTCCTGGGAGTAAAAATCTTTGCTATTGCCCATCATCTTATTAAATGAATATTAAAAAACAAAGCTAAACAAAAACAAAACAACAAAACAAGCACAGATCACACCACAATTTCAACTGATGGAAATGGCTAAACTAAGAACCAGAACCGGCATCTATGGCAAGTTTCTCCATATCATCTTTTCTTTCCTTCCTGGAGTTTTTAGGTTTTTGGATGAAGTGAGCTGCCTTGTATGTTTTCAAATGTGGAAAAGGTAGAGAAAGAGTATTAGGTAGTAAAAATTAAAAAATTTGTAAGTAATGGCAGAGGAATGAGGGCCCTGGAGGCAAATTCCTTGGTTATCTTAGGGTCCTACTTACATGGTCTCTTATTTCAAAAGACTTTCAAAGAAAAATAATTTAATTTCACATTACTTCTTTTTAGGCTGTGCCAAGTTGGTTAATTTCAGTCAAACTGGCTGTTTTAAAAGTGTCATGTGAAGAAAAGAACTAGATGGCTGAACTCTCCTCCTTTCAAATCCAGAGTTATGTATGCACACAGCCTTGGTCCCTGTGATCATGCCATGATCTTTAAAAACAATCACAATTGGGGATTTGATATTAGAAATGTTAGATGAATATTTCTTTTGCCTTAAAAAAAATAGCAGAGGACTAAAAAGCCACTAAAGAATAATGACTGGTACCTGGCAATGTTTACATGTTCTTCGCAGGTAGACATTTCAGAGACTCATAAAAAGAATTTTAATCTAAATGCAAGTTGAGAATGAGAAATTTATTAAATGGCTAAATTCTTTCAAATGTATAAATCAGTGTAGTTTATGGAATCTACAAGCTTATAAAATTTAAGGACTTTTTCAAACTTGTCTTCAAAATGAGCCAGGAGTAATAATCTACCATAATGCAGACTTAAATGTAACTCATTGATTTTTACAAGTCATTTAGAGAAATACATTGCTCAGTTATATTCTTTTATGGAACAACTTTGATGGTATGCCAGTAGTCTTTAAAAATAATTACCTAGTAACAATATAATTTAAAAACAATTACCCACCAATAACAAAATTGGCAAAGTATATCTTGAAATATAGCTTATGCTCAGGGAAACAAAAAAAGTACTACTAGCAGACTTACATTAATAAGTCACAGTTTTGAACAGAAACATGTAAATACTCCAAGGTTTAAAGTACCACATTTAGAAAATGTTTTGAATTAAAAAAGACAAAATAAAAGTACCATGGTTTTTAATACTGATGAAGCAAAGTGTATCCCTCAAATTCAAGGTGGCAACTTGCTTCGACTGCTTATTTACAGTTAGGGTTTTTAGGACAAAAGTAAATTTCTAGGGTAAAAAAAGTCTTCAAAGAGTTGCTTGCCCAAATTCCATTTGGCTAGCAGGCAATAAGGAAACAGTAATGAAATATAAACATTTTCAGGAAAGCATTATTTTTAGACTTAAACACTGATCATTCAACTGATCATAAAGATTAGATACCATGAAGTATCTAAAGTATAATCTGGAGCAGTCCAGATTGTTAAAGTGCGCCGAGTGACCGTTCTCGAGTAAGAGCAGAACCAAACACTATGAGGAGGGCATCCTTCATTCCCTGTTTACTTTCTTTTTCAGAAGAGATGTCCTTAGAAGTCATGTTAAACTTTCAAATCAAGAAAATGAGTACCTGGTATTTAAAACAATGAAAACAATTTCAGAGGTCTCATTATTTCTTTTGCCATCACTGATTCCAAATGTAAACAAGATGCACACAATAGCACGTATTCCCTGATTCCTCCTGTCTTGAGTTTTGTTTACATCTTTAGGCAAAAGGATCTAGCAACTTTCAAGGATGCTCTGGCAGTTTTCTAAAATTTCTATCACTGTCTTGAATGGAACCTGTAATGACTGATGGATCAAAGGAAAATCATTTCTCACTTTTTTTCTTTTTTAAAGCGGGAGGGTCTACATGAACTAAATGAAAAGCTCCGAACTGTCATGAATTGGAATTTTCTAGTAAAACACAATGTTGGCAGTATAGAGCAGGCACTGATGGTAGTCAAAACAAGTCCACAGAACAGAGTGTTATAAGAAGAGATGATTTCTTGCTACGGAGGAGTTCTCCCTTTGTTACAAAGCTTTTCTAGGAAGATTCTTTCGATTAAAAAGAAGTTGCAGAAATATAGATTTGGTCACACAGGTATGAAGGGAATCCTGGGCTTTAAATTCTCTAGTAATACATCAATACCAGGATTCCCAAACAATTAATTTCAATTATTAAATATTAAATACAATGTGGAGGCAGATGACATTGAAGCGAATGTTCATTCTTAAATACTATGAACAAAATATATGATGAATTGAAAAGCTCCAAGAAAAATAATATTTTCCAGTTCTTCTGAACCAATCTGTTAAACTCTAAGATGCTTTCCCAACAATTGGATTTTCCCTAGAAAAGAAAAAAAGTCATTTTTCAAAATTTAAGAAATATAAAAATTTAAAGGGTGACAAATATATAATCCATTAAGCATTTAGAATTTTCCCTGGATAATCTCTCATGCCAAATCTTGTTTCATTAATTCAACAAGTACTTACTGACCACCTATTAAATCTTAGACCCTAGTGTAGAACTTAAAGTAGTAAACAAAACAGACCAAGAAAAACCTTGCCATCATGGAACTTACATTCTGGTATAGGGTAAATAAAATTAATAAGATATTTAGTACAGTAGAGCATGATTTTTTTAATAGAGAAAAATAAAACTGGGAAGTGGTATGGTGTGTATGGGTATGAGAAATTTAAGAAAGAATGTCTGGGATCTCATATGGAAACTTCCCAGGGCTCCAAGGAAACTGGATTACTGCTGTTGGAAGAGAACCAATTACATTAGTACAGAAAAGACAGGATTAGGATGCTTATAATAACCTAATTGAGGCAGCTATCTAGGAAGAATATAAATATTTATACCTGTCAAATTGATTTTTATTGTACATCAATAAAAAATATAATTATTAATACACACACTTTTCAAAGAACATTTAAAGTGGTGCGGCCAGGATTCAGAGCCCTAGTCAGCTGTGTGACCTTGGGCAAGGCATTTAGCTTCCCCAAGCCTCCATTTCACTAGCTGTAAAATGAGGATAAAACCAAGTTGAGCTGATTTGAGGATCAATGAGTGTTCACTGTGGCAAACATTGTTACTTGGCCGCCCAAGAACCATCCCCTCCCTAGCCACTTCTTTGTAAACAGACCCCGATTCTGCTCTAACATTGGGCAGCCATGTGTTTCAGGGAAGGCCGGGGGTAACTCTAGAGAAGGTTCCTTTCTCCTAGTAAGGAGAAAACAGCTTTTTCTGCCTCTGGATGCTATAATATAAAAATGTGGGGCTCTGAATTATTGCAGCTCATGAGAGAATAAGCCTGAGGAATCACCTTGTTGAGGTTGGCCGAGTGGCAGGTGTTCCTTGATGACAGTGCTGAGCTGCTGAATTAACCAACTGTAGAAGTTAACTACTTAATTTGCAAGAGTAAATAGTTTTATTGTTTAAGCCACCTCAATTGGGACTTCATAACTTGCTTCTAAAAGCAATCTAAGCTGTAAAGTACTAAGCACAATGCCCCTTCCAATAAATGTGAGTTGTTGCTGTTGTTACCCATCGTAGTATCCATCTACACCTGAAGTGGTCCAAAAAATCAACTATAAAGTACTTTAGCACTTTTACAGCTTATTTTTTTTGGGGGGTGAGTTTTGTGAATTCTTATTACGTACTGTAGAAAGAGGATCAGTAAAAACAAAAACAAAACAAAGACCTACTAAGTATTCAAGAAATGAATTACAATTGAACATAACATTAAAACTGGTGACAGGCTGGTAGTGTTGGCTCATGTCTGTAACCCCAGCACTTTGAGAGGCCAAGGCAGGAGGATCACTGGAGGTCAGAAATTCAAAACCAGCCTGGGCAACATAGCAAGACCCTGTCTCCACAAAAAATAAAACAAATAGCTGGGCACGGTGGTGCACACTTGTAGTCCTAGCTACTCAAGATGCTGAGATGGATCGCTTGAACTTAGGAGCTGGAGGTTACAGTGAGTTATGATCATACTACTGCACTCCAGCCTGTGTGACAGGGCAAGAACCTGTCTCTACAAAAACTAAATATATAAAAATATATATTTTTTATATAAATACAAATAATATATAAATATATACATATATAATTTCATATACATATATATATGAAATTTAAAAGTGGATAAAGTATAGCACCAACACAGTGAAATGACGGCTAAACTGAACAACACAAAGAGCACTTTTTTTTTTTTTTTTTTTTTGAGACGGAGTCTCGCTCTGTCGCCCAGGCTGGAGTGCAGTGGCCGGATCTCGGTTCACTGCAAGCTCCGCCTCCCGGGTTTACGCCATTCTCCTGCCTCAGCCTCCCGAATAGCTGGGACTACAGGCGCCCGCCACCTCGCCTGGCTAGTTTTTTTGTATTTTTTAGTAGAGATAGGGTTTCACCGTGTTAGCCAGGATGGTCTCGATCTGCTGACCTCGTGACCCGCCCGTCTCGGCCTCCCAAAGTGCTGGGATTACAGGCTTGAGCCACCGCGCCGGGCCACAAAGAGCACTTTGAGTTTGAGTGGCCAGGGAAACTTACACCAGAGAATGGTCCTCAGCTGGGTCTTGAGAGATGTGGGTGAGCAGGAGGTGTGAGGGTGGGGCAGGAGAGGCAATCTCAAACTGTTTAAAAATATGTTTACGATAGCTTAAAAATCACTCACTTGCTCCCATATTTTGCACTACTGGATCTTTTCTTCCTATATTTTTCATGAGGTTCATCCAGCTTCTCAATTACGCTTTTTATTTGCTGAATTGTCTTAAAGGTTGTTACAGAATCCTCGATTACAAAGTTAGAATAATCATCAGGCTCTTTCTGTGGTCCTTGATAGACTGCAATAGTTCCACAAGCCTCTAAAAGGAACAGGAAAACAAATCTCTGATCAGACAACTAAATTCTATAAATGCAATGTGTAGTTCAAATAAGAATTTTTCAAGTGTCTTATGCTGAGGGGATTTCCCCTGGCAAAGCCAAGATAACTAAAATATATACATTTTATTTATTAGGATCATCACATTCATGCAAAAACAGTATTTTAACTTCATGAATGTCAATGAAAAATGCCCCCTGTGGGTTTGTCAACTTTCATATAAATAACATTTTGGTAAATCTATGAGTATTTTCAACTTTTGTATAATGCTAAAGCAATACTTTAGGAATTGGTAATGAAAGATTATGGTTATATAAAAATAGATTGTGTATTTACCTTCCATCTTCTGCAGCTTAAGTAAACTGAGGGTAAAAAGGGAATAAATTCTTTCTGTTTCTCTGTCTTCATCAATATCTATTTGGATGTCTGCAGGGACACCTCTATGGTAAAAATAAAAAATAAATATATTGGACAAATTTTATTTTGTTAACATGCCAAGGACTTCTGATGGTTTGAGACTAAAAATAGAACCACAGACTTTTGCAGAAATTTAGTTTCATTTGACAGTTAAAATAAAGTGGGGCCAAGGAGCGGTTTGGTTGTTATGTGACTCTAAACAGAAGGAGGGAAATTTTAAAGTAAAATCATTTCCACAACCTATGCTTCATCACAAAACAATACATTATTACTTAAGTCTTAGAAATACAATGGTTGTTCCATACAATTAGAAAAAGAATGCTAAGGACCCTTCTTTCTTGATAACTTGGTCAAGCTCATGCTTCTATTTAAACATTGCCTTAAATTTTTTTTTAACTTGTGCAACCACTATTAATTTTAGAACATTTTCTTCACTCCTAAAAGAATCTCTGCATCTCCCCATTCCTCCCTTCCTCCTATCCCTTGTAACCACTAATCTACTTTGTGTCTCTATGAATTTACCTATTCTAGACACTTTACATCAATGTTATCAGATAATATGTGGCCTTTATGTTTGACTTCTTTCACTTAGCATAATTTTTCAAGGTCCCATTCTTGTTGTAGCATGGATCAGTACATCATTCCTTTTTCATGGACAAGTAATATTAACATTGCATGGATATATCAAATTTTGGCACATTGCTTTTATAATCAGAAGGAAACTTACGCAGTACATGGCTTGCAGCCGAGAGTGTTTTCACCGGTCTCCTGACAGCAGAGCCAATTTCCATTCAGATACACTGAGGGATGATAAAAACTGAGCCTGTTTTGATTGCATCGGCTCACCCTGCAGAGTACGTCTATCCATTCATTAGCTTCTACACAGTTATTTGCCTGGACATAGAGTGGCTTCTCCGTATGTATTACTTGGAACATCTTCATAGGCAATTAAGATAAAAAGTTAGTGACAAGAGTCCCCAAACCAACACACAGTACAAAACAGAAGAAAAGTACCTAAAGGAATCTAGTTTGCTTGGCTAGACAACTGGTGCTAAGATGTCTTAGAAATTATTATGTTTCAAGTAAGTTAGTCTCAAGCATAATCTGAGTCACATGGTACTAAGCAGTACAAAAGAATGTAAGTTTTAGAAGCCACACATATCCAAATGAATGGACTATCATATAGATAAGAACGAAGTGAAGGAATTGCTAATGGAAGAAAAAGTATAAAGAAAAAGCAGCAGAAAAATACTTAGGAACAAGGAAATCATCCTAGTTGGCTTGGGTGTATGGTATGCACTGAATGCAGAAGACAAAGCTGGACAGATAGCTTGGGACTGTATTATTTAGAGACTTGAATATCATGTAGAGCATTTCATTGTAGCATTCATCTCTATTTAATATTTATGGCCTTTTGTTTTTCCAGACCTAAATGCATACTCCTTTAGGAGCCTTATATGGTCTATTTACAGCTATATCATAAGCGGTTAGAGCAGTGCCTGATATACAGTAGACATTCAATATATGATAGTTGAATTAAGTGACTTTATCTTTTTTAAAAACATTATCATGTTTGTTTAAATTACATAAATTTTAGATTTTATACCAGAAACCACGTTTATCAAATATTCTATCTTAACATCTCTGTTCAAGACAAAAAAAGAGAAACACACCTTTATTAACCAAATAGTTTTCTTTGCCCAAAACTGTATAATTAATTGGTTAAATAATACAAAATACAAAGTTTCTTAACCTCCAGCACTTCAGTCTATATGGCATTCAAGCAAAGCTTGGGGGTGAAATAAAAGCAAAGCTTTGATTTTTCTAAGAACAATATTACAAAGTGACCAGAAGTTAGAAATATGTTTGCTTATAGTTTCTATGACTATGTGAGATATAATTTATTCTCAGGTAAATCGTTAAGTTGAAATTCATCATATTCTTATGCCATATTATTATGGAGCTCCTTTAGCAAACTCAAATTTCCTTAATGGAATTTCCAAAGTCTTAGGTTAAGGACTCACTCTACCAGATAAGATTTTTACTTTTTATCCCTGCATCTCTTAAATTTTATAGCTTTTGATCAGGTGGCTGATCAATCCATAAGGGATAATAATGAACAGTTTATCAGTTTAGAAATACTGTTTTGAGAGTTAATTCCTTAATTAAATTTAGGTTAGAAAAATATAGAAATGCACATAGGTAGTCATAGTCACTGCTTACATAGTAACTTCTCCATGAAAGAAAAGTCCCTGTCTTGGCGAGTTTTGAGTTGGCCTCTTTTGCTGAGTCTGTTATTTTTTCAGTCCCCATATATAAAATTTTGTAACATTCTTACTTTCTCCATGGAGATCAAATTTAGTCCCAGATTTTTCCTTGAAAATGTTTAAATATTTTATGGCAAAGAAAAGCAGTAGTCACTTTAGAAGACAATCAGAATTTATCTGTTCCATGAAACAAATATTTATATATATGCCATTTGTAAGTCTTCTTGTAGGTTATTTATACTTCTACCATCAAGAAGATGAGCTTAAACCCTACAGAATTAACCTCACATCTTTATAATTCTGATAGAAATTACTTTAATTTTGTTTTACTTTTTTTATTTAGGCAAAGATGCAATCTACACAATTCCAGTAAAAAACATTCTTGCTGTGGAAAAACTGGAAGAGAGCTCTTTCAACAAGAAAAATGTAAGTTATGTAAATAAATTATTTAAAGCTTTCTGAACTGCATGTGTTAAGTATTTGTATTTCAAGGTATTTGGTAATACCTTGTATTTGTATCACCTATTAGATATTTGTATTCAAATTTTCAAGAGGTTGTTTATTGAATTATTTACCATTAATCATTAATAGTTCATAAATAGCTAGCTCAAACTGTCTCTTAAAATTGTCCTTTTTTGTTGATGCCTCATATAGCTTGCCTAGTTTGTTAAGTTAAAGATACTTTTCTCAAGACTTCCCTGTTATGATATATTTGATAAACCTGGTTTCTGGTATAAAATCTAAAATTTATGTAATTTAAGCAAATGTGATATATAATGTTTTTAAAAAAGATAAAGTCACTTAATTCAACTATCATATATTGAATGTCTACTGTATATCAGGCACTGCTCTAACCACTTATGATATAGCTGTAAATAGACCATATAAGGCTCCTAAAGGAGTATGCATTTAGGTCTGGAAAAACAAAAGGCCATAAATATTAAATAGAGATGAATGCTACAATGAAAATAAACTGAGGTGATGTGATAGAAAGTGAGAAGTTACTTTACATTGGGTGGTTAGGAAAAAACTTTCTGAGGAAATGACATTTACAGTTAACAAATATAAATCATAAATGCATGAGATAATAAGGAAAGACTATCAGCAATCTCCTAGAATCAGACGAGATTATATTTATAGGAGCGGGGAGTTGAATGGTGGGGAAGGGAGGCAGTAACTGAAGGAAGCCATAGTCTAAGCCAGATGTACGATAAGACATCTGCAAAAGTAGGAGTGGCTAAGGAAGAGTTTCAAGGCAGAGCCAGTGGACATAGACAGCTGAAGGTTGGGGGCACTCAGACATACATCAGGATGATTAATCAGTGAGTTGCATCTGGATCAGCTGGGTCAATCAGGCCCTCCCCATTCCCAGGTTTGTGCTAAGCAGCAGTCAACAGAGGCATATATTCACAGGCTAAAGCAGCAAGGATGCATACTGGGCTGCAGAGCAGTGCAATGTCACAGGTAGCTGCTAACTCTCAGAAGGGAAGAAGAGAATACCCACACCAGAAGACAAGCAACAGCACTCCTGCCCCTCAGCAGCTTGTCCTGTCCCTCCCTCATAATCATTGGCAGTAAGCTACTCAACACTCAAGTAGGTAAATGGATTGCAAAACACAAAGAAGAGTAAAACACCAAAAAAAAAAAAAAAAAAAAAAAAAAAAAATCACCAAACAGTTAAGGAAAATCATCACTCTGAAGAAGAGACATACATGCAACAAAGGAGGATAACATCTGAGGAAATCAGGAGTTTAAGAAACTGAGGGGAAGAGACCCATGTCTTTGGGTACTAATCTACAGGGGGCATTACAGTCACAGAATTTTAAAATTTTGCAAGGAGTTTCTTTTTTTTGCGACGGAGTCTCGCTCTGTTGCCCAGACTGGAGTGCAGTGGCGCAATCTTGGCTCACTGCAAGCTCCGCCTACTGGGTTCACACCATTCTCCTGCCTCAGCCTCCCGAGTAGCTGGGACTACAGGCGCCCGCCACCGTGTCCGGCTAATTTTTTGTATTTTTTAGTAGAGACGGGGTTTCACTGTGGTCTTGATCTCTTGACCTCGTGATCCACCTGCCTCAGCCTCCCAAAGTGCTGGGATTACAGGCGTGAGTCACTGTGCCCGGCCAGGAGTTTCTATCTTTAGATTTGTTAAATATGCAAAGAATGCACATACCCTGAAAACTGCTATATTTATTCATTTCTGGACAAATTATAACACAGCATATGTAGAGAAAGGGCACTGCTCTCAGGCACATATACTGTCATGATATCATAAGGGTTAATTTCATAGTTAACAGTGTTAACTGGGGTGAACTGCAATGTGAGTTAGTGAGAACGAAAGATTTTACTGAGGACTTTCCAAAAATACAGTACAAGAAGACAAAGAAGCAAAAATAGAAGAGTTAAGTACTATCGTGGATGGATTTAGAAGTTTTAATATCTGACAAACAAGAGTATTCAGGAGAAAATTACATATAAAAATGTCCCCAAGGTAAAGTCAAGAGATCTTCAAATAGAAAGTTATCCACCAAGTACTAAGCAGGATGGAAGAAAAAAGACAACTACCTAAATACTAGGCAGAAAAACATTAGAACTTGAAGGCTACAGAGAATCCTAAGAGTTTTTAGATAGAAGAATCAAAAGACTGAGAATCAGAGTGACATCAAAATCCTCATCAGCAGCAATGGAAGCTAGTAAACAATGGAGTATTTTGCCATTCAAGAGTAAGGGTAAAAGACATTTTTGTATATGTAAGGACTCAGAAAACTTAGCCATAAAGGCCTATCTGAAAGAATTCCTTAAGTACTCCACAAAATAATAATGAATCATGAATCCAGGAAAAAGACAGATGTGTTATACAAAAAATAGTGTTGGGCCAAAGAAATCAGGAAAATTGATAGGCAAGAATGCAAAATCATTAAAACATAATGTAAAAAGGTAAAAGAAACAAGAGAAACAAGTATTAAAATTCCAGATGACTTCTTTAGGGAGATGCTAGGAAAAGAATAATTGAAAGCATGATAATGTTCTTTCCCAGCTTGGAGACTTGCATCAACTGTAGACATTAATATAAACATTTAAGTTTAAATTTGTTAACAATTTAAAAAGTAAAAATAGGATAGTCAAGTTTCCTCACTAGATAGAGACAGACAGAGTGCAAACACGCATACATGCTCAACTATTCCAATAAAAAGGAAGGGAAAAATAAACCCAAGAAACAGAAAAGCCTAGTAAATAGAAAACACGAAACAAAGTAGTAATCATGGTAATCACAATAAATGTGAGTGCATTAAATTTCCTACTAAATGGCTGAAATCAGGTTTTAAAGTTGTCATTACCTCCTAATTAAACAGAAATACCCTATTAACTCACTGATTCCACTCCTACGTATATATGAGAGCTGAAGACACATCCACACAAAAACTTGTAAATATATGTTCACAACTGCATTGTTCATAATAGTCAAAAACCAAAAACAACCTAAATGTCCATCAACTGGTGAATGAATAAACAAAATGTGGTATTATCTGTAAAACAGAATATGATTCAGCCACGAAAATAGAGTACTGATTCATGCTACAACATGAATGAACCTCCAAAACATTACACTGCATGAAATATGTTAGTCACAAAAGGCTACATACTATACGATTCCATGTATACGAAATGTCTAGAATGGGCACAC